AAGCAGACCTTAGCAAGCATTTGAAATAATTCCGCTCAATTCTTTGGGGTCCACCACCCATCAATAGCTGTTAGCATCAATAGACTTCTAAGATTGTGAAGAAATATGAAAATAATTCAGTGTTACAAAATACAAAAGGACTATTTTGATTTTCTGTTTTTAATGAGGTCCCAAAGCATAGATTTATCACTGTATAATTGTGACAGCTGAATACTACTTACTTTTATAAATCTGAATTACTAAGCCCCTTTGTTCTAATAGTATATATGGATTATTAGTTGCTTTGGATAAAAAGATAATTCGATAGGTTAAACATAGTCTTCAAGCAATCATGAAACATATAATTAAATCCTGACAATACTGTATGTAATTAAACCATGGTAACTGAAGTCACTTAATTCTAAATCCTACAAGAGTCAGGAAAGCTTCCAGATTTCATATTTCAGAACAAAGAACCCTTCTCATTTCAGGGTTTTGAGAGAATGCTGACCATTAAGAAGCACTGAACGGAAATTCTGATTTTCATACACTGTGGCACTAACACACAACCCAAAACTTTAGGACTACAACTGTCACCAAAAATCTAGTCCCCAGAGATTTTTGAAAGTTAGTTTTTGCTACAATCACATTAAAAATAATACATATATATATATATATATATATATATATATATATATATATATATATATATATATATATATATATATATAATGGGACAAAGAAATCCATTAATTACACTGAATTTGTACGATAATACGACTGACAATCTTTGCTGGCATGGCGGGTTTCTAGCTGTTTCGCAACTGTTGGTGAGACCATTAAAAGTCGTTGGTGCTGTTTGAAATTGTTCTGCTGGCAGCAAGATCTGACTGCTGGCCCAGCGACGGATTCTATTGCAAATAAGGGCTGTTTCCAAAGGAGGCAGAGGAGGAGAGGTCCCGGGGCTTATGGAGCGAAGGAACTGGATGAGACTGTCGGCAGGCCCAGAGGATGGGAGAGAGGCTTTTGGAGGAGTTGGTGGTGGCGGCAGCGTTCTCCAGGGGCAAAAAGGAGTGAGGCCTCTTTAAGGAAAAGGTGGAAGAGACAAGATCAGGAAAAGAAAAGGAGGTGAGGTTGTCGTGCAGGAATACAAACTAATTTGAGGGATAATCCACATGGAGCTCCATTTCCATCTGCCTGTTTGCCATCGTTCGCTCCCTAGAGACTAAAATGGAAGATCTGTAACTTGAGCTGGCCACGAACAAGGAGTGTATATCGGAGGTTGTGACCCTTTGAGAGCTGTATGCAACGAAATTTCATTTTGATTGGTATACTTTCAAAGTGACAATAAAGTTGTTGTTATTATTATTATTATTATTAATGTGATTAAATGCAAACAGAAAGGAACTCAAATTACAGTTTTGCCTCAACCAACACTTTTTGGAATGCTTCCCCAATGAGCTGGAGAAAAATGCATATCACTGCGCTTGACAATATATATTAGGTAGAAGATTAAAGTGGATAAGGACCATTGATACATGTGGGCAGAGATAAGGTTTACCTTTTCTTAATCTTTTCGGGAAGAGCTTATGTGATGTTGTTTTGTAGAAAAAATATGCTCAGCATAACATAATTATATCTCCTGTTTTACAATGGCAGGAAAGTACCATTCGTTTGTGACAACTAGAGTCAGAAACAGCTTTGAGAGCACAAAAATGGTTAGGAGGATTCTACGCAGTCATGGACAGCCTTGTAGTCTACATCTTTGGGAAAGATTGATCAGAATTACTGGAAATGAAATGAGGTGCTAATCTGTAAGACAACTTTCTCCAATTTGATGCACATCATTTTGTGGAAGTTCAGTTAATCAGATTAGAGAAGGCCATTCTTTAGAACTGCTGAATTATTGGTAGCTGCAGAAATGGAAAACTATTTCTAGCTTTTCCAGAAATGATTGAACAGAACTTTGGATGTTTTTATTTTCAGTTTCAGGAATCATTATCACCATAAATGGGAGAGGCCTAAAAAACAGTTCCAACCCATTATATATACAGGACATGCAGAAAATAGGTTTCCATGTAAACTGGCAGTCATCTGCTTACTAGGGAGAAGAAAATAAAAACTGAATATAGCTCTTATACAGTTTTCCTCCGACTCTCATATATACTGTCAATGACAGCCCAAAGTGTTATCAGCTTTGTCTCCATGTTTCTGATGGGTTTTCTTGAGCAAAGCTACGACTTATGAGAAAGTACACTTATGAAATATACTCAATTAACTGAGGATATCCCATAGTACAGTGGTGGCGAACCTATGGCACGGGTGCCAGAGGTGGCACTCAGAGCCCTCTCTGTGGTCACGCGCGCCGTCGCCCCAGTCCTAGGCCTTCAGCTGGGTTTTATAAAACTTTTTTGCTTTAGGCCTCCGCTGCCGTGTGCAAAAAAAAAGGTTCAATCAATCAGTCAATTTCAACTTCTTGTGGGGAAAAAAAAGATCTTGCAAAGTTGGAATTGATTGATTGAACTTTTTAGTCCCACCCAGTCTGCCATTAGCGCCGCAGCCACGCCCACCCAATGGGCCACACCCACGCAATGGGCCACACCCACCCAATGGGCCACACCCACCCGGCACCCGATGATGCATAAGTGGGTTTGGGGTTGCAGTTTGGGCACTCGGTCTCTAAAAGGTTCGCCATCACTGCCATAGTACAATGGGAAAAATGGTTTTCAAGCTTGGTTCATGCATTGACTCATGGGTTACCAAAGTCCCTTTTTTTTCTAATTTAGTGTATTGTAAGAACTTGACGCAATATTTTCTTTTTTTATAAATATAATTCTTATTGAGATTTTCTCTACAATGTGGAAAGAAAAGGAAGGATTTTGAATGTTTTTCCTTCCGCAAGAAAATGTAACAAATATTTTCAGATACATAACATTATGTCCTCTTTACCATCTAGGTAATTATCAAAAATAGCCCTCAGCTGTTTGTTGAAGCCCGGTGTGTGTTTATGAAAAATCTTTATCTTAGTCTCACTCGTTATTCATTTTTGGAATTTTAAGTATGTTTGACTTCATATTATTCATCAAAACGTTTGAGAAATCTTTAAGCCTTTCACAATCTAATATGAAAACATTAACATCAGCAAGAGTTTCTTGTTCAATATTATAAAAAAATCCACAGAATTATAGAATACATTTTTGGCTAAACAATGACTGAACATTAGCAACAGCTATTTCTTAATTTCAACTGAAAATGAAGCAGAAATGACAAGATAGCTTTTAATCCAGGTATTGGAAGCAGAGTTGCATTTTGCCTATTCCTGCTAGCTTGCATTTTCATCATTATGTTTTTATTGATTTTTCTCTCTTTCAGCAATTTGGCAGTTCTCATAGTTCCCTAATATCAGGGTATCTGATCACCAGATTCCCACTGCTCAGATACCACCAGTTTTTAAAGCTTGTTTAAGCAAAAGAAAGTCTGGCTAACAAAGGCTGACTGCAAGGGATATATTATTTATCAAAATCTTTCTGACCGACAAAATCCCCCACTCTTCCTTAACAAGTCACATTTTGCATAGGAATCAACATCTGCCTAATATGATGCAATAAATGTGACTTAGCTGATGCTGATATTAGCAATGGACCCATGAACATAAGAGAGACTAAACAACACATTCTATTCGAAACCATAACAGAAGTTGCTTAACTAGGTGCTTATGAACTTAATACGGTGTAACTCAGGTTTCAGGACATGCTGCTAAACTTTTGTGAACTCACTGCTAACTATAATGTTGATTTTGCTGATGTTCCTATATTGATTATAATATAATGATAATACAGCACAACATAGCAAGCCTGTAGTTCTTCAAATATTACTAGAACTTTGGACTCCTTGCTGTGATCTATCTCTCTGACCTAGATGGATGGTTGAGAAGGGACATTCTAGGCTGCAGGTAGGCCTCATTGGGCTAGTGAAGTCCTAGTAGAGGGTCAGAAGTGAAGAAGATTAAGGGAACAGCAGTTGAGCCTAAGGATTGCTACTAGACAAACAGATTCTATGAAAAAATACCCTGCATATAAAAAAGAGCCTAACATGGTTCTGGCTCTTATAAGCCTTAAATCCTCCTGTCTGGATTACTGTAATGGGCTGCCCTTGAAGAGCATTCAGAAGCTTCAGATGGCGCAGAATGCAATTTCAAGGGTACTAAATGGTGTTGGTTACTCAACACATATAACACCACTGCTTCATGAGCTGCATTCATGGCTAGATGCAATTCAAGGTACTAGTAGTCACCTTTAAAATCCTTCCTAGCTTGGGTTCAGTTACCTTCTCCCAGTCATTTCTGCCCCTGCAATCCTATCTGGCAGGATGGGCATGTCCCATGTCCCATCAGGAAAGAAATGTCAGCTGGTGGGGACCAGGAGCTGTGCCTTTTCAGGGATAGTGCCTGCCCTCTGGAACATTCTTTCAGAGATTAGGATGGCCAAACTCTGCAGACTTTTTGAAAGGCCCTGAAAACCTGGTTATGTGCGGGGTCTGGGGTCCCAAGTGAGTGACCCTGTTTCCTGGTTAATATCTATGAATTATAATATTTCTTGACATACATATACACATACATAATTTTGTTGTTGTATTGTTATTGTAAATTGGTTTTTAATTCATTTTGTGACTATTTGTTGCCCAGAGTCACTTGTTTCAAATGGGCGGCCATACAAATTAAATGAATGAGTGAATAGATAAATAAATGCAATCTAGGCTGAGGTACTTTATACCCATTTCTCTTGTGCCAGAGATACCCGGATGAATAGATTGTGAAACCTCTCACCCTGGTGTAGCTTTTAAACTCTAGAATGCAAAATCAACTATAGTTGTTGAATACCATTTCCTCAATTCACTACCATTATCAAAAATCCTGTCTTCAAAGGTCACATCAATACCTAAAGTTCCTTGCCAAATATAAATACAATGTAAATTTATTAATGCAGCAATACTAGTTACAGTCAATAAGACAGCAATCTTCATTAATGAAAAAACCCTCAACCTATTTCTTTATATTGGAACACAAATACACTATTCACATTACCAAAAATTCAAATAACTTCTTATAAACACATTAACAGATTCAAGGGACTCTGAACTCACACTGCTGGTTTTCATATCCAGAGATTACATGATTATATATGAAGACCCCAGTATTCCTACTTGAAAGCGTGAGAGTGACAGAAATACTCCATTGCTTCATTTCATATTTAAAAAATCCCTATTTTAAGGCTTCAGGAGAAAAAAGACATGTTTTCCAAGCAAAACCAGAATGAAACTTTTATAAAAGTAGCAATGAAATTTTTATCGAGCAAGAGAAGAAAGAAAATATTCAGAGGAAACCAGGGCAGAGAAGTTACAAAAAGAGAGAGAAAGAGAGAGAGGGCTGGAGGGAGGGAGAGAGATACCATGTGAAGGATACTACTAAAGTAATTCAATATATGGCGATTAAACTATCAGGGTGATTTAGGATATAAGTAATTAGGAATAGATGTAAGAAATCTCCTTTTACAATTAACTTGAATTTTTAATTGTTCAAAGTTTGCGCTGAAAAGCTTAACCAAAACCTGTTTGTTTATAATTTCCTCCCTGTTCTGGTCAAAATTAACATTTAAATATACAAAATGCAGAAAGCAGAAAGCATTGGTAATTTGGTGATACATTTGTGAAATACTTGATAAAAAAAAATACTTGATCATTTCTCCACATTAGGTAGTCAAATAGAAAAACTGTCATGAAAGAAATGAAAAGAAAATGTAAGAAATGAATGTGAGAAATCTGCTTTTGCATTTCTTGCAGGAATGTTTGCCACGGGCGAGTGGGTGTGTACTTGTATTGTCAGTAAAAAAAAAATCATGTCTTATGTGTTTCCTTGTATAACTGGATCATGAAGCAGAATCCTTTGCAACATTCAGGTCTTCCAGAATGGATGCTTTGGGTGGTCCAGAAATTAAGATGATGTAGAAGCAATTTCTGGAAGGCAGGAAGTTTGAAAACAGTAATGTTAAATTAAGAGAAAATTAGCAACCATTTGGGATGGATTCAAAGTTAATAAATTCCACGATTACAACCAAATTCCTAATATTACTGGGTCACAGTCCAGCTGGAATTCTGCTTGCACAATCTCTTTCACAATCAAGCTAGTTTAAAAAAATGTTATATGAAATCCTACAAGACATGAAAATTAAAATGAGATACCTCAGACTAACTAAAAGGGTGTTTGACCTATCACAAACTTTTATCTAGTCCCTTGAATACACATTATAAATGCAAGAAGGAACAGCTAACTGTAGCTTCCATAGGTCTTTGTATTTGACGAATTGTATTTGATGAATTGCTTCTCAACCGATGAAGAAACAAGATAACAAGGGGGAACATGAGTATCCTTCATGGTATGAAATTAGCAAAGGCAAAGTCCTAGAAAAGAAACATAGTAGTATAACCTGTAGAAAGTACAGGTAGTCCTCAACTTATGACCACAACTGAACCCAAAATTTCTGTTGCTAAGCGAGACAGTTGTTAAGTGTCCCATTTTATGAGCTTTCGTGCCACAGTTGTTAAGGAATCACTGCAGTTGTTAAGCTAGTGACATGATGTTAAGTGAATTTGGCTTCCCCATTGACTTTGCTTGTTAGAAGATCGCAAAAGGTGATCACATGACCCCAGGACACTACAACCATAAGTTGCCAAGAATCTGAAATCTGATCACATGACCATAGGGATGCTGTAACAGCCGTAAGTGTGAAAAACGGTCATATGTCACTTTTTTCAGTGCTGCTGTAACTTCAAATAATCACTAAATGAACTATTGTAAGTTGAGGATTACCTGTATATAAAATAATTTTCCAGTAGATGGAAACTATAAGTAGATCTTGCTCTACAAATGCTCAATTTAGCAATTGTTGGAACTTATAACAGCTCTAGAATTCAGTATTCAATCAGTTCTCAAGGTCAACAAACGCAGATCCCAAATAACATTGCAAGATTTCACCTCAGCACTTCTACCAACTCTATCCAACTATAGTTTCAAGCTCTGATTGAATATTGGTGATTTTATTCTACAATTAATTATTTTCAAATTGATCACAATGGCCAACCAACACTCTTCCAGGATTAGAAACTCATTCCCTAATCAGGATTAGAAACTCTAAACCACACTGGAGCAGGAAACTATGCAGGAGAAATCTTATTATGTGTTCTGTTTGGTCCTGCATTCCAAAATTCAACCAGGTACTCAACCAAGCTACTTCCCAGTCCATTAGGAAAATCATAAATGCACTATGAAAACTAGCTGGTCATATCAGGTACCTGCAGAGGACCAAGCATCAGTCTTTCCTCTCTGTAGAAAGCAGTGGCACAGAAAGCTTCAGATATTAGACTGCTGGCAATATACCCACTTCCAGAACACATTTCACCTGGTTTAAGATAAAAACCAGATCTATTGTATCCTATGTAAGTCAGGTCCACAATGACCTGGAACAAACCCATGACTGTCATTGTGCCTATGAAATAATTCATTACCTCTTATTCTTTACAGCAAGTTGTGTAACTTCCTGAAGCAATGTTTTTTGCACATGTGTGTAATGGCTGTCAGAAGTACTACCGAATTCTCTGTTCATCCTTACCAATGTGATTTCTCCTAATCCAAGCTGGGCCCGCCCCAGTGTTTGCCATGCTTCCCAAGAATGGGGATCTCTCTGGACAGCCATCTCTGCTGCCTGAACTGCAGGAAACATTTCATGCAGAGACATCAGAACCTAAGTAGAAAGAGAGGGAGGAAAGAGAAAGACTTAAACCAGCTTCAGACATTTTTTTTTCTTTTATTTATTCAAGTTTAAAAGCTGCCCAACAATTTTGGATGAGTTACAAATAAAAAAATGGGGAAACATATGAAGAAGAAAATGGCCAACCAGAAGAATATATTCTGTATAACACTGGAGAGATTAATAACAGAATGACCGAAAATTAAAAGGTTAAAAGATAGCGAGAAAAATTAGAGAAGACCCTGAGTGTATTTTAAGATTCATAAAATTAAAAACTGTCAGTTTAAATCTGAATTTTAATATATATGTAATAGCAATAACACTTAGACTTATATAGCGTGCCATAGTGCTTTATAGCACACTCTGAGCAGTTTACAATGTCAACATATTGGCCCCAACAATCTGGATCCTCATTTTACTAACCTCAGAAGGATGGAAAGCTGAGTCAACCATGAGGCGGTCAGGATGGAACTTCAGGCTGTGTGCAGAGTTAGCCTGCAATACTACATTCTAACCACTGCACCACCACGGCTCCTGATGCTTCACCTTTTTTGTCTCTGCAACACCTAAACTAATGAAGCAGCCCCATTTTCCTGATACTAAAATTGACTACATCAATTGAAGTTATGACGATGCTCAACATGTGATACAACTGGCCCTCAACGTTCCATTTGTCCCAGCGCCCAACAGTCACCTGATTGCAAACTGGGCACCTGGCAACTGGCTTGCACTTATAACAGTTGCAACATCCCGCAGTCGCATGATTGTCATTTGTGACCTTCTTTGCCGGCTTCCCACAAGCAAAGTTCATGGGGAAGCCAACAGGGAAAGTCACAAATTGCTCTGATAAATTGCTTTCACACCCATAGCTTTTTACACACAAAACCCATCTGCTGTGGCTGCCTGCGCAGCCTCGCACACCCAGCAGCAGCCACCCCCATCCCTGCTGTGCCAGCCGTTCACATACCTTCTCCCACTCTGCAACGGCCAGTTTTATCTGCCCATTGATTTGCTTGTGACCCCAGGCCTTGTGACGTCTTGCTGCAGATTTTGCTTATTGCAAGCTGGCAGGAAGTTGTAAGGAAGTCCCTGCTTAACAATTCATGATCCTTGCTTAATAATGGCAATAGCAAGTGCCAGGACTGCTGTCATTAAAAAATGCAGTCATGTGACATGATATTTTACGACTGCATCGCTTAGTGATGGAAATTCTGATCCCAACTGCCGTCATAATCTGAGAACGGCCTCTAGTGTCATTGCTGAGAAACCCATGCAGCTAGAAGATGCCTAGGTTGGAGAGTGCAATTCTACTTAACCCTGCTTTAAAATTTATGAAGCAAAACTATACTAACTGCTTTCTATTTAAAAACTGAATTTGTATATTTTTTGGTCAAGAAATGTATCAGTATTGTGCAGTCACTTGTTACAGTATCACAGACAGTACAATAATTCAAGTACCAGCAGGTTATTCTAGGCATTTCATATCTGGCTCTAGAAACACCATTTTTTAGTTTCATTAAAATAGCCAACAAAGCTTAGATAAATGACTCCAATCTTTGAATTGTATAATATGTTCAGCTGTCAAATTATGACTGTTAGCACCTGGCTGGATCCATTTCCAACTTACTCAAAAGGATATTGATCCATCAGCAGCCAGCATGTTTTAGTTCTATTTTTTTAAAAGGAAGAAGAAGAAAGAAGAAAGAAGAAGAATCGGATGCATAGGCTCCAGCACATAAACTTCATTCTGTTTGTTCTCATCTCATCCAAAAACCAAGTAGAAATATCTGGACACATGCTTGGAATGCTTGCAAAGCATGTGGCTTGGCAGATCTAATCTCTCCTGAGTCATTAATGTGTATTAATTCTTCTCACGTGATGTTGGGAAATGGGAACAAATGGGAACAATTACAGGATGCTGCTGGTTGTAAAAATGCAATGTGGGAAGCTCCTTCCAGTCCTTGTTTGTACATCATCCAGATCAGAACAATAAATTCAAATTGCCCTCCTTTGCATTGTGCCCACGATGGAAATTACGAAGAGCATCTGTAATAATAAACCCTCTTCTGGTACTTCACCTTTTGTTGCAGGTTGCTTGCTCCATGACACAGATGCTACTATTGACACAGAGTGTTTTATTTAATCTTTCCCACAACAGCTGGTGGATTTAAGGTTGCCCACTGAGAAACAACTTACTTAGTTCACTATCTGACTTTAAAGTAGTACTGTACTAATATTATAGCCCAGGGTGAAAAAAAGAGTCATCTCAGGGATACACAAATATATACATGTATTATTAAAAACTCCTTAACATTATGGCCAACTTAAAGCTTCTATGAGTCATTTATAGAGCACTTATCAAGGCAGGGAGAATCCAAGAGCCTTTTTTAATTTTTACAAAAATATCATACAAATCAGGCATGGTGTGGTTAGAAAGATAGAACAGTCACGTAGAACGCACAGCATGCCTCTTTGGACTGCAGCCATAGCATCATAATTTAAATGCAGACTGGCTTTTGATGTTCCAAAGTAACAACATGGAACAAACACAAAATCACCTTCCTTCTGGCATAGCATTCAGAAGGCTAGTAATGGGGAAAAGAGGGTGATACATAAATATTTGCACATCCTCCTCGTTCTCAAAGTTCTTTTGCAAATTGTATGGGTTGCATGTCCCTTACGGATAGTCCTTGACATTCAACCACAACTGAGCCCGATGTTTCCACTGCTAAGCATGGCAGTTAAGTGAGTCACAACCCATTTTACCACTTTTTGCCACCACTTTTAAGTGAATCATGTGATCGTTAAGTAAATCTGGCTTCCCTCGTTGACTCTGCTTGTCCGAAGGTCGCAAATCACATGACCCCGAGGACAGTGCAACTGTCATAAATTTATGCCAGTTGACACATCCAAAATTTTGATCGCATGATCATTGGGATGCTGCAATGGTTGTGTGAGAACCAATCATAAGTCACTTTTGTCGAGCCATTGTAACTTCCAACAGTTACTAAAGAAATGCATGGTCATAAATCGAGGACTACCTGTATCGCAGAAAAAAAGAATATTTTCCATTTTCTGGAGGCTGGATTGCAGCAGTGATTCGGTACAGTGCTGGTTTCTCCTTCCTACATTGGCTCTTTTGAAGGGTCCCATCAAGAACCTTTTCATGAAGTACAGAGAACAGATGCCTCAAAGTGTCTATGAGGAGTCTCAGTCATCCAGTTCATGGTTGTCCCAAAAGTGCTCTTTCAGGAGGCTATTGGATTTCGTTTTTCCTTGAAGACGTTTAGCTTCTCATCAAGAAGCTTCTTCAGTTCTTCAGAAGCTTCCTGGATGAGAAGTGAAATATCTTCAAGGAAAAACAAAGAAAATCCAGTTGCCTCTTGAAAAAGCACCTTTGGAAGATGCCTCAAAACAAATCACCTTCCCACTGTTTTCCTTTAGAAATAGTACACAGTCATTCATACCTGGATCTAATGCTATGGATAGGAAGAAAAGGCTGAATTGAACTAAGACCAGACGTTTTGGCAGTAGTTTCTCCCAGCTTGGTACTTTCTACAGGTTATACTATGTAGTATTTTCCAGAACTTTGCCTTTACTAATTTCAAGCCATGAAGGATACTCATGTTTCCCCTTGTTATCTTGTTTCTCCATCGGTTGGGAAGCAATTATTTCTATACTTGGAGCCTTCTGCTAATCTATACACATGCCTGTACTGTCTTTGATCAATATTTGAAATAAAATCAATTTAACCTTGTGGCTCTTGCTGTTGGCTCATTTGGATCAAAGAGGCCGCGTACATGTTGTAACCTGCTGGCTTTGGAACTAATAAACGATTGTTTGGATCTTCCGCAGTTGGTACTTTCCGGGTGAATTTTCCAGTATAGCAACAATACTTCTACTTCCCATTCATTGTGGGAGATTATATGGGCAGATGGCTATGTAAGATGAAGTCCCATACATTTAAAAGACAGAGGGTTGAGATTTAGTGATCCAACAACTAGGCTTTTCCTTACAAAGCTGTGAAAACAATACCTTCTAAGTCTCATATCTATATGTTTTAAGTGAACTATCCATAGCTGTAAATAGTTTCAGCTTGCAATTTAAGCATATAGTTAGCAGAAAATCTAAATTTGTCTCTGCTGAATGTGTTTAGGACATTCACTTGGAAGATGGGTGAGAAGAAAGACAAGAGTGGAAAACTTCAGAACAATATCAAATAGTAAGAGTATATTTTTGTTTCAGACTAGAATTATTACTGATTTTAGTGGAAAAGATAAAAAAGACACCAAGTTGCATTTGCTACTATTGCAAAGAAATGATCCAAGTATTACCTGTGATTTCATCTCATACAGAGTGGCATCTTCAGGGGTTAACTGAAGTGCTTCTTCCCATTTGTGAATAGCTTCCGGGTACCTGCAAGTTGTTAAGAAGTAATTTATTCTTAATAAATGTATATTTTAAAGGTTGGCACCTTGATCATTGTGCCAAATGAGTTTTTAACTGTGATATATTTGTGCAGAGATCTCCCAAAACAGTGTTTCTCAACCTTGGCAACATTAAGATGCCTGGATTTCAACTTTGAGAATTCTCCAGCCAGCCATGTTGGCTAGGGAATTCTGGGAGTTGAAGTCCAGACATCTTAAAGTTACTAAGGTTGAGGAACACTGTCCTAAAGACTACATGTTTGCTGCATAAATTCATTACTAGATGTTTTTTCTCCACTCCCAAACTTATCATAGAAATCTAAACCAACGCTTGCTCTGGTGCTGAAGTATAATTAGATGTTTTTGCAGTATGCCCCGAGGATCTGAAGCCTTAGATGCATATTAGATGTACGATCGATATCATGTATGTGTACAGCCATTCTATAAGCTGTACTTTTGCTTATCCCAAAGCTTTAGTTTTTCCTAACTTGCAAAAAAAAATTAACAAAGAAATATTCATTTAACGTGCAGTTAATCTGAATCTAAGCATTACATGTTCAGAACTATATGCGTACACCTGTATGATATCTGTTATAAATAGAAGAGTCCTGAGCAATGAATAGCTCTGAATTCCCTACCCAAAAGATACAATAACTGGCTGGTAGGATCTGCACGTGGGAAAATATGTTGTTCAGGAAAATAATAATTCAACTAAATTCCCTAGCTTCAAGCCATAACATTAAACAGAAGACTGTTTGATGACTTAGCATTCTTCAAAATTTGGCAACCAACATATGTTTCTGTAATACTGTAATATCTTTAAATTTTGAAAGCATTCCTCACAACTTTTGGCTACAGCTATTGTGTAAATCAAATTAATTTATAGTATCATCTTAACATTCTGAGAACATCATTTATTTTAAAAGAAACATGGCTAATAACACACTTCAATAATAATAATAATCAGTATCTTTTGAAATGGGTTTCCTGTTTTTTAAAAAAGTTTATTTTTAATAAGCACTATAACTTTTATATTTTTAATTATCTGCTTATCTTACATAAGCCGTTAAATGTATAAATGTGATCTCAGTAATTTTTTAAAACGCAAATACATACTACCCACAAGAAATTCTGTACTGTATTTGTTGTAATATCATACAGTCATTAACTTTTTTAAAATAAATAAATCAGTATAGATAATATTTCATCTTTCACTCAAAGTATCTGAGGGAGAAAAAAAAAGAAGTAAGTATTAAGTATTAAGCTCAATGGCCGGAAAAAACAAAACAAAACATTTCTTTGGAGTTAAAGTAACAGTTAAGCTTTCTGGAGTTTATACTGTCAGCAAAACAAAGGAAGTAGGACCATCTTCCCTGGAGAGAAAAACATATTTCTCCATTTGCAAAATATGAACTGCTCAATGAGCCAATTTTTAAAAATTATCAGGGGAAAAACATTCGTGCAACAATTATCTTTTGCATGTTGATACGAGGGCAACACCAACAGATGATCATCAGCTTTCCCCAGTTGTCATCCTCAAATGAGTTGGAATTGGAAATTGCCAGAATTCTTATCCAGCATGGGTGCTGCTCTCCCATAAACATGGAGGGTGCCAAACTGAGGTAAACTGATCTAGATCCTTAAAATCCAGAAGCAAAGCTCAATCAGTGCAAAGAGAAAGCATAAAATGCTTCCCACTTTTTGCACCCTCATCAATTTCTTTCCTCCGTTCTCATAATCCTTATTGAGGAGCCCAGCCTAAGTTGTGGACACAAAGACATGGTCTTCAGGCTGCCAGAACATGTAGGAGTTCTGATTGATACTGTGTTGCTGCATGTAATGCTGGGAAATCGTAGTTTGTTCTCAGTCCTTCTGTACATTTTTCATCTGGGTATTTTGCATTTATATATGCACTCCAGCAAAGCATCCAAATGGGTGAAGGATCTCTGATGTACATTAAGGTAGGGCACTTAGTTTAAAACAGATGCTAGACACTTGGGTTATCTTATGTGATTTGAGGCAAGTGTTAGTCACAATTATTACAAAACAAATAGTCCTCTTTTCTATTACTCATCAAGCTGAACAGCAGGTCCTTTAAATCGAAAGCTACCATTTATGGAACCTGAAGGACCAGATTAGAACAAATCTTCCTACAGAATGTCTATCTATGTGGGTAGGAGTTGACTTTATGATGCTATATAATCATCACCATTTATGGAAATAGCCTGCTTATCTTAAATATGGACTGGATTGAGACTGCTGCTTCAAGGGAAGCGAGGCTTAAACTCTTGAACTTGTTTTGTGAGAAAGCAACATGAGCATAGAAAGCATATGAATTGGCTTTTCCCTTACATAAAAAAGAGCAGAAAAGAATAAATTTCCTTGTGAATAAGATACAATTACCACCTTTACTAACAAACTAGTCTAGAAAATTAGATGCCTAAAAAGGCTTTAATAGCCAGTTTAATTTTAAAACTTTAAATGTGAACAACTTGCTCATTAAAAATCTGAATGGATAAAGAAGTACTGGATGTGAACAAAGATCAAAATTGCTAGGAAGAGAGTTATGCTACTTCCACCAAAAAGATAGGACCTGCTGTTTCCATATTATCTGCTGTTCACCAATTAGAGTAATGGTTTAATTTTTTTCTTATTGTTCTGGTCTGGTTGTCTTTCATGTTAATCTGTCTGCCTTCTTGCAACCTGCATCTACTGTTTGCTCATACTGAATATGTGCCCTGTGCTTTGTTCTTGATTTAAGTCGTTCCATACACACATCCACATCCATATAAAAACTCTAATTGCACTCACCATTTAAAAGACTGCAAATGGCCATTTTCTAAGCCATGTAATTTTACTTAATTTTTTTTTACATTTCAATCTAAAATTTCTATGCAAAATTACATGGCTTAGAAAATGGCTATTTCAGTCTTTTAAATCAGAATTTTACATTTCTATGTACAATTAATGTTCTATGAAAAATTACATGAGAGTCTAGCTGAGCTGGGCATTTCGTGATCAGATCTTTGCAAGTGCCACTACTGAGATGTCAGGTTGGTGAAGCCACAGAAGGTCTCCCTTTGGGGGGTGATAATGGCAAACAGCTTATTGCAAGCTTCTTCTTCACCATCTCAGGAGTACGATTGAATTCTCGCCAGTGTTCAATGTCTGGAGGGCTGATGTATTTGAGTATTGCCATCAAGGCCCAGTGAGAGTCTAAGCTGGTGGTTCTGCGGGAGAACCAACCAGCATCCTACAGCCTAGACAAGATGCCCAAAGGAGCATAGCCATCTTGCCTTTGTTTTGTCCTTATGTCTGGCAGGGGAAAGCAGTACACATCTTACCTCCCTTAAGTCACCATGGAACTTGTGGATCCCAGAGCAGCTGCAAGAGGCACTTGGCTTGCCATTTTGCCCTGGCACTGGGGTTTTTGATCTCGCTTCCTGACCTTTCAGGCAATTTGCAATGGATTTCTAGACTGCAATCTTCCGTTCAGTCTGGGCTGGAGGTTGATTTTAGTAGGGTTTTGACAGTGGGATTTAAAGTTTTTCCTTCCCCACACCCCAGTTGGAAGATGGAATGGGGCTCATGCTTATGCTTGGGTGCTGTTTCAGCTCTGTCTTACCTGGCATAAGTGGGGAGATTGTTTGAACTACTCTAATGCACTCTACATAGGGCTGCTCCTGAAGAGTATTAGGAAGTTTCAACTGGTGCAAAATACAGCTGCACAGGTAGTAAAGGATGCCTCTTATTCAGCACATGTAATAACAACTACTTTGTGAGCTGCATGATGCTTCTGGGTGCAATTCAAGTTGGTTGCCACCTTTAAAGTCCTTCATGGTTTGAGAAAAGTTATCCAAAGAACTGACTTTCTCCAGTTATCTAGTTTGGCAGGAAGGGCATGCTCTGGGTTTCATTACTGTGCCTTTTCTGCTCTAGCATCTATCCCAGGGGTAGTCAACCTTGGCTCTTTTATGACTCGTGGACTTCAATTCCCAGAATTCCTGAGCCAGCTTAGCTCAGCTTAGCTGGCTCAGGAATTCTGGGAGTTGAAGTCCACGAGTCATAAAAGAGCCAAGGTTGACTACCCCTGATCTATCCTATGAAACATTCCCTATCTGGAGATGAGGATGCTGGTCTCGTGTAGGCCCTGAAAACCTGGTTGTGTGGCTCAGCCTGGGGCCCAGACTGCATAAAGGATGCCACCACCTGGTTGTGCTAGTAGCCATTGATTGTGTTATCTTCCTCAGTTGCTGTGTGTCTTCGTTTTTAGATGTGTAATGGGAATTGCTTTTAATTTATTTTAAGCTTGTCACTGCCCAGACTCACTTGTTGAGATAGGTAGCATACAAATCAAATGAATGAATAAATATATTTGAATAAAACTTAAAACTCAGATGACCAATTACATTACTACTGATATTTAAATTTCCATAATAACACTTCCATAATAAATCTTAAAGCAGTCTCTCAGCTGCCATAAATTATCTTCCTGAGTTATAAAAGCAGAAACTTCCAAGAAATGTATTTATTTGGGTATCCTTTTATAACTCCAAGGCAACTGAGTTTTTTTTTTCTCAGATAAAGTTTGCAGAATGTTTGCGACATTTTTCCTTAAGTTAAAATATGCATTCCTAATCTTTCTTTTTTTACATGTTTGTGTAAACTGAAGAAAAAAGGTATCTTTGGAGATTGCATTTAGGATGTCTGAATTTTATGAGATTATAAATATGTGTGAGTGACCTATTTAGCCCACATTTAAAGAATCAGCTATTTCAAACACTTTAGAAGAAGAGACCACACAGACACACTGTTTCACAAACAAAGCAGTGCAGTAAAAATGCCATGAACACATTAAAATAAAAACAGTATTTTTTAATATATATATATTTTTATGAAGCCTTCTAAAAAAAACCTTTCCAAGATACTTATAAAAATAAAATCAGAGAGACATCATTTAGCCGACATGCAGACCAGCCCCAACCTCCT